TTTGGGGGGTTTTCGGGGGGATTTTTTTCCTCAATAAACGGGATTATTTGGGATTTTCTGCGTTTTCGAGTAGTTTTTTTGGGAATTGTTTGGGGTCAGGGGTCCTTTATTTGGGGTCAGGGGTCCTTCATTTGGGGTCGGGGTCCTTTATTTGGGGTCGGGGTCCTTTATTTGGGGTCAGGGTCCTTTATTTGGGGTCGGGGGTCCCTCATTTGGGGTCGGGGGTCCCTTTATTTGGGGTCGGGGTCCTTTATTTGGGGTCGGGGGTCCTTTATTTGGGATCGGGGTCCTTTATTTGGGGTCGGGGGTCCTTCATTTGGGGTCAGAGGTCCCTCATTTGGGGTCGGGGGTCCCTTTATTTGGGGTCGGGTCCATTCCCGGCTCCCCGGCCCTTAATTGGGATGATTAACTAATTAACTAATTACCCCCTCTCCCCCCCTTTCTCTCCTCCCGAGGCCCCTCCCTCCATCCGGTGGGGGGGGGAGAATTCCCGGGAATTGCCGGAGGTGATTTGGGATTTGGGAACATCTGGGATTGGGATTTGGGATCATTTGGGATTTGGGACCATTTGGGATTTGGGATCATTTGAGACTATTTGGGATCATTTGGGACTTTTTGGGACCATTTGGGATTTGGGATCATTTGGGATTTGGGACCATTTGGGATTTGGGACCATTTGGGATTTGGGACCATTTGGGACTATTTGGAGTCATTTGGGATTTGGGACCATTTGGGACTATTTGGGGTCATTTGGGACCATTTGGGATTTGGGATCATTTGGGATTTGGGACCATTTGGGATTTGGGACCATTTGGGATTTGGGACCATTTGGGATTCGGGACTGTTTGGAATTTGGGACCACTTGGGATTTGGGATCATTTGGGATTTGGGATCATTTGAGATTCGGGACCATTTGGGACTATTTGGGACCGTTTGGGATTCGGGACCATTTGGGATTTGGGATCATTTGAGATTCGGGACCATTTGGGATTTGGGATCATTTGGGACTATTTGGGGTCATTTGGGACTATTTGGGACCATTTGGGATTCGGGACTGTTTGGAATTTGGGACCACTTGGGATTTGGGATCATTCGGGATTTGGGACCCTTTGGGATTTGGGATCATTCAGGATTCGGGACCATTTGGGATTTGGGACCCCTTGGGATTTGGGACCATTTGGGACTATTTGGGACCATTTGGGATTTGGGATCATTTGGGACTATTTGGGAACTATTGGGATTTGGGACCATTTGGGATTTGGGATCATTTGGGATTCGGGACTGTTTGGAATTTGGGACCGCTTGGGATTCGGGACCATTCGGGATTTGGTCTCGGGAATTCCGGGGCCGGGCTGGAATTTGACCCCGGGCCAGCCAAGGGAGC